ACAAAGTTCAGAGCGGAGTAATAGCTCGCTAGAATTATTCGCAGCATTCAAATTACTGTTGAACTCTTACATGTTTTCGGCTTTAACTGATTATGCAGCAGTTAAAGGATCTGGTTGGCTAGTTCTTAATGCAAATTTTCTATATGAAATTTCTGCTGAGGTTGCGAAAGGCTAATGAATGAATATATTTGAGGTCCTGAGTAGGTTACTAGTCCTTCATTTTATGATAAGGAAAAAAGTATAAACGGACATGAGAAGTAGCAAAGTTTTGAAAGCAACAGAAATGGCAGAGCAAGTTGCCAAATTTTAGATATTTTTTCAGAATATAGTAAGCATTTACTTGGCAGTGCAGGAAGACAAAAAATTTTTTTCCGCAAAGTAGAAACCATGATTGTAACATTCTTTAGTACGAGATTTTTTCAAAGTTTTTTTGTTCAAAAGCTGTAGTGAGCCTGCAGTATGTGGAAATTGAAAACGATAGAAAAAATTTGAAGAGATGAAATTTGATCAGCAGGCAAGGCGCTCTGATAGTGTTCAATAGAACATGCTAAATGTGTTTATAGAAAGGTAATCATAGAGAGAAGTTTTAAATAACTGGCACAGAGGAATCAAGGAAAAAGAGTACCATAAATAGCTAAATACATAAAGCAATAAAGTCTTGGCCGTGGAGAGTTTTCAGTTGAAGAGGATTATTGAACTTTCGCAGGATATTTGATAAGACTTGGTTGATTTTGGCTTTTAAGAATATGTCTAATGTTTTAATCGCTTGCATTCAAATTGTTTGAACCGTTTTTAAAGGGATGGAAGTGTTCAGCCAAGACAACCACGGTTTACATGTTTTTTCATCAACAGTAAATGTTCTTTGTCACTGATGAAACTATAAGATCTGTTAGTTGTTTCAAAAAAAAATTTGTTATCCGTTTTTGCAGTGATTACAGAAAAAACTGTTGTGCAGACATTTTATTTTCTAGGAGCGACTATTGTTAGGTACGCTTAGAAGGGAAAATCAGAC